TTACTTACTTACAGTTAGACCCAAGATTCTTTTGTCAATAATCAGATTTCCAAGCACTTTTGAATTTAACATTTCTTGTATATTAGTTTAAATTTTAGGTATAATGACAGACAGTTTTAATTATGGAGGCTCTAAACTCATTGAACTGAATGTAAAACTATCAATATGTTGTTATAAAATATTCATTGTTAGTAATTTCTAATGTTATTAGTACTAATTTCATTACTAATATTATTTAATAATTGTCTCTATATATATATAAAATGTTCACAAAATTTGCTTTAACAGTAAGTGTACATCTATTATTTTCATTTTCAAAAGTATACGATTGCTTTTACTTCCATTTGCAAATATTTCCTATTCGAAGTCTTAGATAACTCGTCGCCATTTTACTAAACAGCTGCTATATAAAGGAAACACAATATTGCTTGGGAAATTCTTAAACTTTAAATCCCTCCTATTCCTACGAATCGTTCAAGCATATAACGTTTCACGATCAACAACCAAGCTCCAAGCTTGAAGCTCCAAAGTATCTTCGTGTAGGTAATATGTACACCTACATATACATGCACACATATGTACCAATCCAAGATAAAGTTCTCCCTGATTTCTGTTCTTCTTCTGCGAAACCTTTGCCAGTGGCTACGCCAGCAAACGTTTTTCATCAAAGTCAGCAAAAGCCAATTAGGTGAATTCGATTTATTTCTTTGAGGATATATCTGTGGCTGTAATGAAAATCACCGCATGTCACAAGTTCAAACAATTTAAGTTCATGATCACAAAAATTGCGATAAATTTAAAAATAGAATGCAATTTAGAACGCTAGTAATATGACGTATTAATTCCTTGCAACCATAAATATTACTAAATGCGTTTTCCAACATGTATATAATAAATAATAATAATAATATTAACACGTCGAATATTAAGCCACTATTCAAAATTTACACACAATCAACGCTGTTTAATAAAGCTTAATAAAACTTAAACTGAAAAGTTAAAGTTCATGGTTCTATTAACGTGTTAATTTTTGTATTTGCCTATTTCATTCCGAACATTGTTTTAATCTATTTAAAGATTGGAAACAATTCTAGCACTACTACATATTTTTTATAGTTAAAGAATATTTTTTATATTAAGTCTCCAACAAAGTTGACCTATAATTTTTTCCCTTCATTTTGTAATATTGTATATAAAATACCCTGCCATTTAAGTATTATTATTATTCAATTAGTGAAGTAATTTAATACATTATATATTACTAGAAACATTGTGTATTCAGGGGTGTCGTTATTTATTTTTAAGTTCAACTCATTGAGAACTTTTACTTGGGAGCATCATTGAAATATGTATTCATTACCTGATATTATCTCAGATTAATTAATATTATTTCACTTATATTTAGTTACATTTTCAGTTAATATTACTTCGTGATAGAAAATAAAATTTTGAATTTTATTTCGTTGCGATTACTTTCAATAAAAACAATTGCGGTATGACGTACCTTTTTCTTTGCCTCGATACTCTTGCCCATGTAATTGCTACGTATGGCATGTTGTCGGCTAAAAGGACTACTGGAGTCCTGCTGTTCCTCGGTAATAGTATCCGCAGTATCTCTCGTCAAATAACTGTTTCCATTGGTCCTGATTTGTGTCCTTGGTTCGAGGGGATATTCTGGCCCTTGACATTTGCTGCTCGGAGTCCTAGAAATCCTCGATCTCGGGATACGAAACTGTTTAGATAAAGAATAAAAAAGGTCTATCAATTTTGCGACGATGAAGCAATTGTTGTTAGCACTTGCTCCAGTAATCAGACAGTTTAAGAAATAGATATTCTACTTTCATGAACATAAAATTATAATTTTAAAGAAATATCTAATAATAATTATTATTAACCCTTAACTGGCATACTAGGCTCATTAGTGATACCAATATTGCATTTCTGTTCCATTTTATAATAAATGTATAATTTTCCACTTTTTATGATTGTATACACTGGCTAAGAATAAAATACAATGAAGCTTTTGTCTAGAATTAGATTAACACATTCTTTTGAAGTTTTTATTTAGGGTCTGTCATAACCCCGGTATACCAGACATTTTTGTGAAACTCGTTATTAAACTGCAGATATTTGTGCAAAATAAAAATTTTCCAAGACGACTCTATGGAACCGAAATTAAATAAAAATAAATTGTTACTTTTAATTGTTTTAATAAACTGAGAAAATATTAAATTCTTCTTATGTATTCATAGTTTCATATTCCAGCTACACAAATTTGTCATAAATACATAAAATCCGCAGTCTAATCATCACACCAATTAAAGTTTAATACATTATTTTAACGAGGTGATGTTTTGCAATATTGCTCACGGGTCAGCATTTCGACTGTTATTACATAATAAATATTTGTTATTATGTAAAGCAGCAAATAAATTTATTATTATATAATGCGATGTTTGTATGCAGAATTATTTTGCAGGATACACAGTTTTTCATATATTTAGATATCAATAGATAAATAAATATGCGACAAATGTTTCTCTAAAAATTACTGGTAATTTAGTTGTCTAATTTGGAAAATGACGAAGCTAACATTAAATCTATCGAACACTGAAAGCGACTATCATGTTGTTTCACAAGAATGCCAAGATTGAATTTATTTCGAATTTTTGTTATTTTTATTTTAAAGTAATGTTTTATGAATGAATTAAGATATTTAGGTAATTATTTCCAACAAAGGAGACTTGATAATTTGATAATCGGTCATTTTAACAGTCACGGTATTTTTAGTGTTCCGGGAACGAGAGTGTACGAAGTTGGAAGGAAAGACATTTGGACTTTCACCATATGGTCACAGTGAAAGCAGCTTACAAACAAACTGTTTTCTGTTTAATATGAAACTACTGTTTAGGGAGAATGGTCTTATCGATCGTATATCATGGCAACTCACGTCAAAATTGAATAAACGATCAAACAGTGCACCTGTCGGCAATGCCTGTAGCGTTCGCGAACGAGTACAAAAGGTCTAACAGAGTAAGCATGCTATAGCACCAATTTATGTATGTATGCACTAGCATATGAACAAATTATGTATTTATGTTTGGTAAATCATGAACTTTACACAAGGTGAGATTTTGATTAATTGCCGATCATGCAGAGTGATTTTGAGAAATAGAAGAATTTTTTTTATCGAATTTTTTTAATAGCGTTATGTATTTATTTTATGCACTTATGCAGATTTTATGCATTTATGAGAAAAATAAGTAGATGAAATCTAAAACTTTAAAATGATTTTAAAAACTTATTATTTTCAACTTATTAGAATATTATTAAATGAAGGGATACATTTCTATTTGACTCTTGTTTCTTGCAATTGACGTAGAAAATTGTTGCATGAAAATTATTATATTATGACTAGCAATAATAAACTTTCTCATCAGTCATATTTTTCACACCTTGAAATGTAATTTTCTGCTGAAATCACAAACATACTTGGACACAGCATACTTCGAGAAATACCATTGTATACACAGTTGGAACAATGAATATTTCACGTTGCATTCGTGCTGCATTATGTTACCAAACATAGTTGGTGTAGCGAATATAGAATTGCAGAAAAATCAAAACAGAGATTGCAACATAATGTTTAACTCTTATTTAGTATCTCTTGTACATGCATTAAACAAATGAATTTCGACACAATTTTTGGAACGATTTGAATACAAGAAAATCTTCTTTGTATTTTTTGAAATACTATATTATTAAAAATGATACATCGAAATAATTATGGACAAACAGGGAAAAGTTATGCTTTTGTGAAATGGTGCGTCTCGTTGGCATCCTAAGAGAGTTTGAAACTTTGAATCGGGTGCACACATAACTCAACTAATTCTCAAATAATTAACTTATAATTCTGTCTGAAGGTTAATAATTAAATTACGTCCAGAGCTTCCTTTGTACGCCACTCTCTGAAGTTCGATTCCATCTCATACTACAATAAATTTCATGGTTCATTTAACTTTGTTGGTTCACTTTATTAGAATGCATTACTCTCGTCACCGAACAATATTTTATCTATAGGAAACTTGAAGAAAGCTTCAATCTTATACGTGTATAAGGAGACACATTAGCTACCATGACACCACAATGCGTCATCATCAATTTTGAGGGTTAGATCTAAAAGTTGTTGCCATCAAAGTGCAGTGGATCTCGTTCATTTACGCCAGAATTTTAATCATTTACGAACATAAATATTATCCTTTCATTCTTGTACAATATTTTTCTTTTTCATAATACATATACAGTGAAGATGAATTACTATTAACATTAAAATTGTAATTATAATGCTTTAAAAAATGTTGAGTTAGTGCAGTAAAATTTAATTCGTTAATTGCCAAGGTACAATCTCCAAAAACTGAATCCAAATATGATCGCTAGTGATCTCCATGTTAGCGCGACCTTAAATCAAATAAATGAAAAGAATCAAAGCAATTTGTTTGTATTAAAGTCTGTATAAAATCAGGTTCAAGTACTCATTCAGTATCCATTTCGTTTCCTTAGATATTCTCTGAAAAAAGCTCCGAATAAAATAAAAATGCATCATTTTTATTTCGCAAGGATTTCAGTTACTTCAGCAATATTCTTAGTTTGTTTTGTATAGAGTATATTTTATTTTGTAATACTTTAATAGCCCCATAAATATTACGTAACCTGATCAACTTTCGAATAGCCAATAATATGCTTTTGTTGTTTTAATAATATTTTCTACTACTTGTTTAATTGGATTAAATTTAGATATGATTATTGAGAAATAATTATTTATAAAAATGAATATAACCTTCCAAAATATTCAGTATTAAACCCAGAAATTGATACATCTACTATGTCAAATGGTGAAACCTCCCTTAGTAATTTTCAATTCAGATAATTAAGAATACAGTCCAAAGAATACACTCAAATTCTTATTCGATTCTTTCCAAATAGTTTGCAGGAACTATAAATGCATGGAATCCCATAGTCGACTTACAATACATCTTCATAAAATAAATGTTTACAGTAAAAATTATATATTTCTTATATTTTTCAAGATGCATTCGTTGTAGAATAAACATGGCAATGTTGAGCGACTGAAAAAAAATGTATTCTTCTAGTCCTGAATACGGAAATACAGAATTTCTTGTGAACAATCTGTAGAAGCTGAACATCGGATCGTTCTGAGTGTGCTTCTGCAGATTGTGCAGTCATAGATACGTATTACTTGCTAGAACTGTATCTTAAAACAAAACAGTCTTGGCAAAACGACAAAATGTCTTTTCCCATGCGACCATTAATTCGAAGCTTTTTTTCTGTCGTTAACGGCCGAACTAGCACGCACGGCTATTAAATGTGAAATTTCTAGCACATTTAGGCAAAGTTATCAATGCACGTTATTCATTTCATTCCTTTTACATAAAATTATATATATTTAATTACAGCAAGTGTGCTTTTTAATACCAAGAGGTTGAAAGATCCATTAGAAAAGATTAAGTGAGTTAAAATATATAGTGGTTAAAATCACACAAATAGATAGCTAAAATCAATTGTTTCTTCGTGATTGGATTGTTCTGATACAGTTTCATGAACATGCTAGTTCCTTTTATAATTAATTGTACATACATTTACGAGCAATGTAAGAAATAATAATAGTTAGAATCTAGAACATTTTTTAAAAACTATGAATTGTGTGGTACAGTTATTTACGAAAATATACTGACACTAAATTTCCTATTTTCAAAAAAATTGTACTATTACTACAAAATTTTAATTACTAAAAATTTAAGCTGTATTACTTTCGTAGAAAAGATCAGACAACAATAAACCGAAACTCATTTTAAAGCCTGAAGCTTCTACTTTCGTAATCCATTATTCATTTTATTGTAGAACGTTTTTGCATGATATTGCGTGAGAGAAATTAGAGGTACGTTTTTCCTCGACAAAAAACTGTCAAAAAGTTTTTAAAAATACTGTAACGATTCGATGTTCATGCCCAATTTCTATTATATAGAAAATACCAATTTACGCTTTTTCAGGTAAAATTAATATTAAACATATCTTTATTAAAAATATCTGTATTATATCTATGTACATATTAAAAACGTGGTTTTGATATGCACTATTTCAAAATTTCAGATGAGAGTTTTATATAGCTTATGACTCAATTACATTTAATGCTAAAGGGTATCTTCAAAAAGAGCTACCGACAGTCTTCTTTGTGAATAAACCGGGTCTAAATTTAAAAACTTGGACAAACTTTTATTGTAACTTTTGTTGCGATCGCGAAATTTTGTATGACGTCCTCGCAGAATGTTTAATTCCTACAATGACTCGTTAGATGTAATTATTCAGTCCACCGGTGATTCGAGGATTATTGCTATTCAATTTGTGGGTCTACGTCAAAGCACAAATGTTTATAAATAAGTCACAAATCACCAATGAACTGAAAGATGATATCCGTCGGACCATTGCAGAGATTGATCAGTCGTTGTGAGGTAATGTCATAAAAAGTTTAGATTTGTAGGCATTTTTAAAATGTTCGTTATGGGCTGAGATAAAAAAAGGTAAGGAACAATAGTTTTCTTATTTTTTTGCCAATCCAAGTAATAGCAAAATTTAAAAAAAAGTAATTTGGTCATTTTATAATTAATTAGTTCCTGTAACATTTAAAAACTATTCAAGACATTTAATACAGATTTTTTTAAAAAAAAGGTATAAGAATACTTTAGTCCGTCACTGTAATTGTAAACGATCGTACCAAATGTTATAATAAAAATTTGTCCAATTTTGTAAATTCGAATGTGGTTTATTTACAAAACACTACCGGTAGCTTTCGAACCTATATAACCTAAGTTATATAGAACCTATATAACTACCATAATTAAGTAAATATTTACACGAAACCCTTTAGATATATTCATAAAAAATATTTGCGAAATCAGTAATAAAATAATCGATTTTTCGAACTTTCACTTTAAGTGTAAAACTTCTAGCTCGTTTCTGCAGAGTTATCAATGCGCGTCAGTCATTTGATTTCCGTTCGACGCAGTCATTAAAATTTCTTTGCAACGAGCGAGCGTCGTTTTAATATCACGAGGTTTAAAGTTTCATTAAAATAGATCAAGCATAAAATATTGTAATAACGGGAAGTTTGGAAGTACTGAAAAATTGTATAGCGACAGAGTTCACGTTCTTTAAGTGTGGTTATTAAGTATCTAAGTCACGTTGTGTACTAGAATTAAGTTTCGAACTCGCACGTGAAGATATGGGAACACGTGACAAACATGCGAAAAATAGAAATTCAGTCGAATTATTTTCTGTTTCACGGTGTAGATATTTTAGTAACAATGCAATTAGTGTTGATATAAAGTGCACCACGTTAATGATCCGTGTAATTTTCGTGGCATTAGTTAGAGTGCCCTTATAATGCACATCTCATTTACCTAACTTATACAATGGAGCAATTTTGGTGCACTCTCTAGGCTCACAGAACATTTTAATGTGCCCACTTCGTTCTACGTATAGTGTACGTCAAAGAAGTAACATTCAAGTTGCAAAAAAGTACTAAATTTCATCTTCAGAATTTACATATCTGCTGTAATGGGAATAAATTTCTTATCGACTAGAATTTGATTTCGCTTCAACAATAACAGCATTAAATTACTCAGTTATGAAACTACATCTTCAATGAATTTTCGTTTTTCTTTATTTACGATTCTATGATAAAAAAATATTATTCTTTTCTCGATACGATTGTTGACAATAGCGTTCTACGTAAGCTAAATTTTCAACAGTATTCTCTTGAACTTTCCTTTGATGTTAAAATTCGCGTTACCTTACAACGGGTTAGTTAATTTCCTATTAGTATTCATTGTTTCTGACCATCGTACCTTCATGTCTTTTCACGGAGAATCGAGAAAAGAACTACCACATGAAATAAAATATACGCTTTTAGTTAAGTCGTAATAGCATAACTGTATGCATGCATTGTTCCATTTGATAAAAATTCTGGAAAAGCCTGCTTTATACTATATCTGAGAAAAGTGTTTCCCAATTTCAACTGAATTTGTAATATCATTTATTCAAGCCAGGGAAATATTTAGCACTGAACAAAAAGATATAAATCAAATTTTAAATATTAGATAAATATTATAATATGTTCTTATAATGCAAAAATATGAATTGAAATAAAATTATTATGTATGATATACGTAAATATTATTTGACATCAGAAGAATTCAAAGATGACATGTGATCTTATTTTCAATCTATTAAAACTACTAAGAAAGAATGAATTTCTATTTAATTACCGTTTTCCGCATTGCGGTAAAAATTTTTATTTTGCATCATGATCTAGAGCGTAGTAATTAGCACATATTTATATTCAATTTTTAAAGTCGCAGCTTCTACAGCCAAATAATAAGCCATTTTAATATTTCATTCTTCCAGGAAGAAATTTTCAAGCGTTTTGTTTACACTCCAACGATATTAATTTCTCCATTATAATCCTCTAGATATAATTAAGTTTCTTGGTATTTCACGATTGAGATATCAAGTAGTGTTTATTGTATTCAACGTGCACGGTGGCATCATGAAAATCAATATATTTAATTTAATTTAGCATCCTCCTAACGCGAAAGTTTTTAAATGTTTTTAAGACTTTGCAATAGTTTTTAATATTTCGCGCGCGTAATAGTTTGACATAGTTCTTCACGAGCTATAAGTTATTTTTCGTTGTTTTCAGTTTTTTTCATATATTGTTTAATAATTATGTAACCTTCACAAACCGCAAATAAAAATAATATATTTGTGTGAGTGATTAAAATTATTCCCACCATGTTAAAATATCATAAACAAACAAATAGACACATTTTGAATCTACTAAATTAAAAGAATAATATTTTGAATATTTCATTAATAATTTTTATTTGCTTATAATTATTTTTTCTAAATTAAAATATCATAAATAAGTTAGTAGGTATATTTTATACACGTTAAGTAAGAAATATAATTATCTGACCAGTTAAAAATGGTTGATAATGTGCTTCTCATAAGGAATTCATGGCCAGATTCTCGGCCTGGCGATATTTGATTGCAGTTTCTCACCCTGGACGACATCCTGTGCGGTGCATCGTTGCAATATCCATGGGAAGTGGAAAATCCTCGCCTTAATCTCGAGGATGCGCTGCAATCATTCAGGACAACCATCGTGCTCGGTCTTCCATCACTCCTGTCGTACGATGAATTCCGGACTGTTCCACTGGATTCTGTTCTCTCAACTGTAATGCGGATTTGTTTCGATCAGGATTCTGTGAATAATGCAACATGTCTACAATCCTAATGTCTCAGTTAACTACGCATTTCCCTTCAAAGTATGGCCTATGTTTCCATGAGTCGTAAACGAGCAGCGGGTTTCGACCTGTCTCAAGGTAAAATTGTTATTGTATTCCTCACGCCGACTCGAGATCGTCTGCTACTCTAAATAAATCGGCGCGGCGATAATCCATCGCGAGGATTTCGAAAATATAGTACGATAATTCGAAGGTTAGACTTTGATTACGAATCATCCTGTCGAAGGTGTGGGGAAAATGGGATCGCAGGCCGCGACCGCGAGTTCGACATGCCTTCGCCCATTCGCTCGGCAGCCTCGGATCGCGAATGGTGGGTTAGCGATGTTTTCGGTCGGTCATTCTAACCCGTCGTTCGAAAAATTGTATTCTTGGGGTATTACATAGTTAAGATGTTCAGTCGGTATATCTGATCGTTGGAATATTCGTCGTTGGGACATTCGGTCGTTGGGATATTCAGACACAGGAATATTTAAAATCGCTGGAATATATAAATTGCTGAAATATTCGGTTGTCGAGATTGAACTAAACCATAGCTCAGATTTTCTTGAAAAATACCGTCGCACATATCGTTGCGGTTTCGTTACTACTACCCATACGAACCGCGTCGCAGACATTCTTGCGATATGTATCGCAGATGTCATCGCAATTCTTGTCGCAAATTCGTTCATGGGCCATGGCTAATGAGAATCTAACGCGTATATTTCGGAGAATTTAATCGTGGGCTACCGGAGGGTTTTCGGCTGACAATTACAAGAATTTTCATTGAAATCTAAGAAGCTTAATTTCGCTTGAAATCGCGCCTGAGATCGGGCTTCATGATTCGCAAACGGCATACGGACGTTTAACAATGAAGAATCGCGGTTAACGCAATCCATGGTGGCATCCGCTTTAGGTCGCTTCTGCTCGATAAGACATTTTGTTCGACTCGAGTTGAAGTTCAAAGTCAAGTCGAACAGAGCCGAGTCGAGCGAAGCAAAATCGAACAGAGCCAAGCTGTCGGAGAGGCTTGTTGGATACGAGAGTTGTGTAAAAGCAATGCTGACGTCCTGTTATCGTTTCCCATTGTTATCGGCCTGGTTGCGCGACGATAGACGGGTAACGAACAAGTGGTTCCCGGTAGCTACACCGAAAAATTTGGAGTCTGCCACCAACCGCGTTCCTATTCAACTGAAAGCACAAACGGAACCGATCGAACCACTACTGAGAGTATACCACTATCGAGTTGCCTTGAGAGATCCGATTTCGCGTACAGGGTGGCCCAGAAATTTTTCATCGAGGCTTAGCTGATATGGCCAAACATGTATCTTTTCGTAAAAGAGTTCTTCTCAATCCATAACTTTATACGATTTTTATGAGAGTCTGTAGTTTTCTGTTTTCGAGATCGTTGAATTGTAATACGTTCTTAAAAATTCAAAATTAGATAATTATTTTTTGTGAATATCGAGAATTCATTGTCTTTGCGAGTTTCGACCTGTCTTAAGGAAAAGTTGTTATTGTTGTATTTTTCGCGCCGACTCGAGGTCGCCCACTACCCTAATTAATTTGGAGCGGCTACGATACGTCACGAGGATTTCAAAAAACATAACAGGGTATTAGGTCGGATTTTCCAAAAAAATTCTGTTACATATATCGTGGGCTTCGGTTACCGTATTCGGGCGAGTATTCGGCTGACCGTTGCAAGAATTTTCTTTGAAATCTAAGAAGGAAAAAATCAGTAACGTCAACAAAAAATGCTAAGTGGTACGTCGAAGTCCTTTCTTTATTCCCATTAATCTGTTTTCACATTGTCTCGCGATTGATTTTAATCGAATTTCGTGCTATTGTTACAGATCTTGAAATCACATGCGAGGCAGAGATCGAGAAGCAACGCTTGTCGGGCTTCGTCGAGGAAGAGCCGATGTGAGCGTAATCTTTATCAGCACATAAACCATCTATAATATTTAGTTGCGATTAAGGTGAATCGAATTTCTTCTTATAATTACAGATCTGGAGATTACGTGGACAGTCTTGACGTGGTTTCGTCAAGAACGAAGGGATGTAAGTATAATCTTCGTCAATATGCAAATTACGTGCAATAGTTTGCAGATATGAATAATTTTATGATCGATGTTGAACGTATTTTAATATCTCTGTGTTCTTCTTTTTGCTTCAGGATTCTAACACAGCCCCTTCCTCCTATCAAGTAGTGAGTAAACATTCAAAGTACTATCTTTTTTTTATTACGTAGAAATTGTAGAAAATTTGACAAGTATAGTGACCAAGAGATTGCCCGGCAATCTGAGTAGTAATTTGTATCCTAGATAGGTAGGGTCATTTTGCACGTCGTGATTTCATACGATTGTTCCAAGTTCGAATAATTTTATTTCGAAGCTATTGACAGATTAATCTTTTACAACACGTGATTATCATAACATGAATGTTACAAAAATTATATTAGTGCATTTACTGTACTAATATATTGAATAAATTTGTTTCGCCTAATTGCATCAGAGATCACGTGCAGGAAGGCATTTCGGGATATACGAACATATTTGGAAATTATTATTATAAAATTATTAAACATAATTGAACATATTTTAAAATTATTGTTAAGAAATTATATTATTNCAATCCATAACTTTATACGATTTTTATGAGAGTCTGTAGTTTTCTGTTTTCGAGATCGTTGAATTGTAATACGTTCTTAAAAATTCAAAATTAGATAATTATTTTTTGTGAATATCGAGAATTCATTGTCTTTGCGAGTTTCGACCTGTCTTAAGGAAAAGTTGTTATTGTTGTATTTTTCGCGCCGACTCGAGGTCGCCCACTACCCTAATTAATTTGGAGCGGCTACGATACGTCACGAGGATTTCAAAAAACATAACAGGGTATTAGGTCGGATTTTCCAAAAAAATTCTGTTACATATATCGTGGGCTTCGGTTACCGTATTCGGGCGAGTATTCGGCTGACCGTTGCAAGAATTTTCTTTGAAATCTAAGAAGGAAAAAATCAGTAACGTCAACAAAAAATGCTAAGTGGTACGTCGAAGTCCTTTCTTTATTCCCATTAATCTGTTTTCACATTGTCTCGCGATTGATTTTAATCGAATTTCGTGCTATTGTTACAGATCTTGAAATCACATGCGAGGCAGAGATCGAGAAGCAACGCTTGTCGGGCTTCGTCGAGGAAGAGCCGATGTGAGCGTAATCTTTATCAGCACATAAACCATCTATAATATTTAGTTGCGATTAAGGTGAATCGAATTTCTTCTTATAATTACAGATCTGGAGATTACGTGGACAGTCTTGACGTGGTTTCGTCAAGAACGAAGGGATGTAAGTATAATCTTCGTCAATATGCAAATTACGTGCAATAGTTTGCAGATATGAATAATTTTATGATCGATGTTGAACGTATTTTAATATCTCTGTGTTCTTCTTTTTGCTTCAGGATTCTAACACAGCCCCTTCCTCCTATCAAGTAGTGAGTAAACATTCAAAGTACTATCTTTTTTTTATTACGTAGAAATTGTAGAAAATTTGACAAGTATAGTGACCAAGAGATTGCCCGGCAATCTGAGTAGTAATTTGTATCCTAGATAGGTAGGGTCATTTTGCACGTCGTGATTTCATACGATTGTTCCAAGTTCGAATAATTTTATTTCGAAGCTATTGACAGATTAATCTTTTACAACACGTGATTATCATAACATGAATGTTACAAAAATTATATTAGTGCATTTACTGTACTAATATATTGAATAAATTTGTTTCGCCTAATTGCATCAGAGATCACGTGCAGGAAGGCATTTCGGGATATACGAACATATTTGGAAATTATTATTATAAAATTATTAAACATAATTGAACATATTTTAAAATTATTGTTAAGAAATTATATTATTAAGCATACTCATTTTTCAAAGAATTTTAGGAATCATAGCCTGAGGAACTGACGACTCTTTTTAGTTAGGATTTTCAGAGATGGGTTCCATGTTTGTCGCTCGAATCCTTTCGAGTGCCTAAGCGTTACTCAGGAGGGTGCGAGAATCGACACATGGAACGCGGTATTTAGGCAGTGGATTTTGCGTCGATTCTTTGAAATCGAAACTAGCTCGAATCGAACATATTCCATACGATCTATGTCATGTAACGTGGACCTGTATGGAATATGTATGCACAAAATGTTTATTTTCTATTCCTATCGGTTGAAACGGTTTAATAAAAGCTCGCAAGAGTCTTGATAAATCCATCTCTACCGAAATGGTATTTATTCTAGGATGACTGGTATTACTAGTCAATTAGAATCTCGTCCGAGAAAGTAACTTTCAATTAGAATTCGATTAAATCACAATGATCGCTACCATGTCAGTCGATTTCAGGAACTAACTTATACTTTAGAATGAGAATGAATGATTATGTTAGGGTGTCAGAGGCGTCCCGAGATGTTCTCCGTGTAGGAAACAGCACCTCAACGTATAAGTGTGAAACGTGGAGTGAATGTGTTGATGTAATCGTTTTGCCATCTTTTAAATATTGCATTAGGCAAAATAGATGACTTGTCATAACGGAGTGTGTAAATTGTTAGATAGCGCCAGGGCTGGCTATCGTTCTCTTTACGGGTAGGCTGCGAATCGCACGATAGTCAACCATCGGTAGGGCTCGAAGTATTTGATTCGAACTCGATTCGAACGGTGCATGACGTTCGATAACGGCTCGAAATCGATCCTTCGAAAATTCTCTTAGCTTCCGCGATCGCGAACGCGCGAGGAATTAGGTCTTTTGAAATGAAACGATACCGGCTCGATTGCACCAGCAGGATTATCGACTTTTTCCAAGACTTTGTTACTTTGTCAGGCTTGGTTCAGCAGGCGAATTACTGAAGAAAAGAAGAGGCCCCTCCGACGGACTGTCGTGAGAGGCCAATTTATTGTCGTTACAACTATGTCACTGTACTCGTTTGTGGAAGTAGTAGTTGCAGCAGTAGTATAATAGTGTTGAATATGGGCAGGCCTCGCCGCCCCAACGATCAGCGTAGATGGACACGTTCGCGATTTGCAAATAGTGTTACGAAATAATCACGCGTTACTTTAGTTAATTTTGAACGGAGACAATTAAACAGAGAAAATTAGCATTGCGAATAAAACAGATGCGATTTCAATTTTATGGCATTGATTCTGTGGAGCGTAGCGTAGCGAATAAAATAATCGCGATTTCATTTTGATTGTTCTGCACAGTAGCATTAAAGGTAGCGTTGCAAAATAAATACGATCTCGCGTTGAGTTGATCAATTTTCGAGATTATGAAAGGCCACTTGCTTTCGGAAAGCAATCTTTTGAATCTCTGTTCGTTGGAATAGCATTGCGACAATACAATCACGTTGCAATAGTTTGCCTTCCGGTATTTTAGACGCCCATGCTGCAGCTGTAACAAGGGGCAAGATCCCAACGAACAGCTCGGATGGACACATCGCGATTTTTGCATTATAGCGTCTCAAAACGAACTATCGCAGCTTGTCTTTAAATCGGTATCAAAGTTGCCGTTACGAGAATAATTGAGTTGCAGTAGCTTCGTTCATCTTTCAGAGCTCATGCTGCAACTGCAACCCTGCGCAGTGTGGCATTCGCGACTTTTCCTTAGAGTCGCAAGACGATGTAACAACGGTTGTGTTAGCGCAGCGATTGTAAACGCGATTTTCTAAACGAGATAGCCGGAAGTACCGGACCTCGTCGATCTATATCCGGAACTGCCGGCTCATAGAATTTTCATTCCGCGAACCGGAACCACCGTCTTAGACAAAAGGGGCGCATCCGACCTGACATTACGACGTCCAGATGGGTGGGTGGTGCGTAGCTTAGGAATCCGGGGTGAATTCCAAGGGGCGGGGGACAGACTCTGTCGCTAAGCTATCTGGAAGAATTAGTGTTGCGGGGATTCTCCTACGCAGTTGTCTTAGCGTCGCGAAAATTGTTAAAGCGTTGCGTTAGAATTGCAAAATAAATGCTATACTGCGAGTAGCCGTTCCAAAGATTACTGTATCGCATACTTGACGATTCCCTTTAGCGTTTTGTGTAAAGGGATCAAACTGTACGGGAGTTTTCAATTTCGAATCGAACGCTGCTATTGAGAGATTAAACTCTAAATCTTGTAGATTAGCGTCGCGAATAACGCGTCGCGTTCTCTTTTTTATTTTTTTTTTCAATTGTCACTCCAAGCTCAACACTAAACCTACTATCGCCGGTCAAAATGATCGGTCCCACATTTTGTATTTTCGAATTGTTGAAGTTATAAAGACTCTCCTTCACATAGGAAATGATTGAATAAATTTCAAAAAATTGGATAAAAAATTGTGAAAAGTCTAAACAAATTCATTTTTGTCCTTACAGGGCAACACACATTCGTCACTTTTAATGCTCGGTAGGTTTTGTGTTGTTAAGTCTGTTTCAGATTATTTAATAAATCTCATTTATAACTGTTACGTGATTGTGTTGTAATTGGAATGTGGTGATACGTGTAGTTTTTGCTGCACTGGGTATGGCTTTAGCTTTTATATCGAGCATGGCGTTACTTATTAAGGCTATTCTGGCGCCTTTTCGGATCTCCAGTCACGGCAACCTTCACATGGTGAGACTCGGGCAGTCGATGTAATTTTCGATTTCCAATCTACTTCTACTTCGATTACCCTACTGTGAAGTAGGGTTGGGGAAAAATAGATTTTTTAAATAGCAAAAATAAAGTATAAGTATTTTTATCTTCTCCTGTAATACAGAATTTAGCAAATAAACTTTTTTGAAACAGTAGTTATACGTATAGAAGCTTACTTGCCAAAATCTAGATTACATGAGAAGATAAAGATATAGTCTATTTGTCTATTTACTATTCCAAAAATCTATTTTCCTCATCCCTGCTGTGAAGTAAACGGTTTAAATGCAAATAACGATGTAAAATTATATATCTCTACTTCGTATGAGGTTTTGATATTTTTTTAATATTTAGTATTTAAAGTGGCATCAACCACTGAATGGGTTATTAGCGACTCAGTCAGGTTTACAGTTAATTGTATAATTTGGTTTTTGAAATAATGTAGCAAGTTTTGGATTGTTCCATTGTTCTTCGGTATGTTGTCTAAAGGAGCTCTTATGTTGTGTCGTCTTCTTTCCTTGGCCTTTTTTCTGCAGTGTAAAGTGATGTGTTCCACTGTTAGGGAGATTTTTATTAAATAATATTTTGTTATAATTATATACATAATATTTGTTGTGTTCTAATCTCTTCTAAATTTTTAGCTATATACTTCGCCTCGATGATTCGACGAACTGGAATGTGTCGAATTTCACTCGATAGTATTTATTGGGTTGTTGCAAATATAATTTCGGTTTTTCAAATAAATAGCTTACAAAAAAAACTTATATTACTTTTGCAACAACTTCATATCACAGACTTAGAATCCGTGCAGACATTGTATGCAATGCTTTCTTGTAATGCTAGCACTGTGAAGCTTATAAAATTAACGTTGTAAATAGCCATCTGCAAGAAAAAATGTATAAAACTATTGCTATATATGTACCATCATTAATTATGTAATTAATAAAAATAATTGTTCATTCGCCCATCAAAATAATTACACTATACTATTTCCATCTTTTAAATGTTCCCATCGTATACACTTATTGCCTCCAAATAATATTCAGCATTCGTAGTAGAAATAAAATATTCAGAATATTCGTTTCTTGCTAACGTGCTTATTTTTCGTGAACTATCGGTAACGCTGGGCGCGACACGAAATGGTAAGAAAGCTCTAGAGCTCCCCAAAACTGAAGCAGAGAAGCCCATAAGATGCAATGTCTGCATGGATTCTAAGTCTGTGATATAACTGGATAATCGAATGATGAATGAGAAGGGTGTGGCAATCAAATTGTAATTTATGTGTCAAAGTATTGTGCGTAATAATATTTAATATTATTAATAAAATATTATCAACACCATGCTCTTATGTTGCACAGCATGCATGTTGTGTCCTACTATGGTGAAACAGAAGTACACAAGTAACCGGTACAATTGTAATGTTCACAGTTTACGACTTATGGAATTGTTAGAGGCCCGGTACCGAACTTTGATACTAAAGCTTGAACGTGGTCGCGGAAAGAAATCGTAAACATTCTCGATGTACTTACGACGTCGTTGACAGTTGGATGTTTGTCGTATTTCCTGTCGTAAGCCGCGCCAAAGTTCTGCAGCGATTAATGAGTAAGCGAGGCTCATTACGATTAGAGGGACCAAGAGCAACGTTCCATCCAAAAACAAGTTGTAAGCTCTCTCAGTACCCACGTTCGGCCATTTCTCTCGACATTTGTGTCTCCCTGAAAAAGAGTAAATATCAAAGTTTTAAACTTTTTAAATTACTATTCTTGGATCAAGCTTTTGGTCACAGAAACTAGATAGAAGCCTGTTTTAAACGTGAATTTTAGGAAAATTGAAACAGTTTCTTTCATTGGCTAGCAGGACTAAGGATTGCCATTGTTCGATAGAATATTGTTAGATTTTTAAATACATTTATTTCAATTACGTAATTTAAAAATGTTATCTAATATGAATTTAGAAATTAAATAAATTATGTGGAGTCGAATAAATCGTCAAGACAAAGTCAAAGAAATAGGTCTAGATAAATAAAGGAATTATATTATTATTTATACTATTATTACTTTAGAATTATATTAACAATTGTATGTGTGAATTATATTAACAATAGTGAACAAAAATGACAAAGTGAATCTACATAAGAGAAACATTTAGACAATTACCTAAAGATGTAATAAACAATAAAAAGGAAAGTTCAAAAAATAAAACTCGTAATATTTTAAGATATTTGAAGTTTTGTAAAAAGTTTATT